GGTGAGTACAACACTTAGTAACCAAGGTTCGACAAACCCATTCTAATGCATGTCAATTAGTTTATAACGCAAGTAGCACATAAATAATTCTTTAAACTAGGTAAAACATTTAAGAATATACATCCACACTTTCAAGCATAATTGCTAATTGGGAAACTAATGCCTGTAGTAATTTTTCCATATCAAGAGAGTTGGTCATACAAATCATTGACAGATAATCGAAAGTAATTAAGACTCAATTCATGATTATCATTATCAGGGTCCTAATATAGATCACCATATGCCCTTACTCATTACATACATGATCACACCTCTTATGTCCTCCTTATTCCTCTGACATGAAATCATGGGCTATAACACAATGAGATAGTCTATATTTCATGACTTCCTTAGCCTAAACACTTGTGAGGAGATTACCTAGCCAAGGCACACCCAACTCACTTATGGAACATAGTTTCCCTCATTTCTCACATTATGGGGTGTCATACACCCTAAGCTAGCTCCTTTATTGAACTAGTGGATAGCTAGCTAGGTTCGAGTCTCTCATTGAACCAGTGGGACAGTCCCTCGTTGAACAAGTGGGATAATATAGATATAATCAATCTGGCAAACCATCACACGGATGGGGCCTTACCACGTGAATTTTATCATCTACTCCTCTTTTTAGGCGAACTCCCACCTTTCAAGATCATGCAATACGTATTCATGCAATAATTTATGCTTTACATGATTTATAGAACTTTACATTTCCAGTTTTATTGAACTTCATCATTATGTAAATCATTAGACTTCGCAAGCACATTTTCATGGAACTTCAAACCAGATAAGTCATTGAACCCAATTTCACAATTATTGTACTTCACACTTTCAAAATCACTGAACTCCACTATTTTAAACATTATTGAACTTCTCATAAATATATTACTTCTCAAATCACAAAATCATTGAACTTTCAATAAACACAATACAAAAATCCACCAGTATTGTTCTTAAAGAATTTCACATCATAAGGCATAAAGCTCACAAAAATTAATTTAGTGAATTTTCTAACCAATTAAGCCATATTTGTGTTTCATTTTAATTTAAACTTTTCAATGATCAATTATAAACCCATAAATCAATAAACATATAAAAGCATGAGATAGAATTTTCCTGGTTACCTTAAACCTTTGAGAGGTCAAAGGTTTCACCCCCTCAATTACTCACTCCCAAAACTTCGAAGAAGCTTGAATGGTGTTAATGATAGTTACTCTACAAGCATTTACAATGCAAAATATCAATATTTATATTTGAACTATTTTTCACTAACACTTGAACATTTCTTAATACTCAAGATTTATTCTTGACTTATGTAAAAATACCTATAAGGCTTCTTAGCTTCCTTTAACCCCAATTAATAACATTAAGCTCTTAAATGGTTATTAATGGAACCACATTGTTTCTAACCACTATATTTATAAGAATTTTAGACATTTAATGTCCTCCAACTACCAGTCATCATAAAATCACAAATATTAAGTTTACTTAGCTCAATTTACTCCCATTAACTTTATTTAGGTCAATGGGTTCGGACTTATAACTGCTATGGACCAAAAATTATTATTATAAATCAAACTTTAACTTCTACCATTAAGAAAAATGAAAGAAGAGAGAAAGATTTAAGTAAGGAAGCTTATCTTTGGTGTTTATGAGCTTTAAATCACTCCAATAAGTCAATTTCTTCAAGTCATAACTCAGCTCTTACAACCTTAAATCCCCTAATTCATCTAGATCCATGATAATGATTCATTCAGTTCAACATTTACTCTTCTAATTTTGATTGGGTGTTTGTCAGCTTAGCCGATCCATTGCTTATTGCATTGCTATTATTTTATTTGTGTTTTTAGTTCATTTAGATGTTATTTAGTTAGTTTTTGTTGTACCTTTCTTGATTGAGTATTATATTAGAATGAAGTAATTTTTTGTTTGATTAAAAAAATTTTAAAAAATAAAAATAGTTAAAAGGGCCTAAAGCCCGCAGGGCCGGCCCTGAGCCAGTTATGTTAAGGGCCGAGATTCAAATATCAGGGTCCTAAAAGGAACTCGAGTTTAAAAGGGTTGACCCTTTTAGGCCTGAGCCCTTCAAAGGTGGGCCCTACAGGGCCGGGCTGGCCTTTTTTGCCAGCCCTAGTAATTAGTGTGTGTTTGAGTTTTGAATGATAATGTTAGGAAAAACATTACAGACCCTACAAAGGTGGGTTTGAATCTTATCCAAATATGCCCTATGTTATCTTTGAAGTGTAGGGGAAGAAATTGAAAAACGAACAAGAGAGAAAGGCTGATATGAAATAACAAATTTCCTTCCAAAATATCTTCTTGTGTGGAGAGAAAATTTGGAGAAAAAATGCAATGGGTCATACACCCCATTTTCCCCCTTTTTCTCCTTTCTCACCACTCAAAATAGGAAAAAATTGTTTCCTCCCCATATTTTATTTCCATTCAAGTGGAGTATAAAAGTTTCATTTTCCTACATTTTTTATTTGTGCTTGGATAGTATTACTATTGCATTTGATTTGGGATTTGTAGTGTGGGCCTTATTTGTTTTGTTATGGAGCTTTGCAGGTTGAATTGGGCCCTGTTTTAAATTGTTGGTCTTAATTATTAATAGTGTATTGTGTAAATGTTTGATGAGTTTTGGGATATTGGCCATTAGGTCCCAAAACTCTAAATAATAGTTAGATTCCTAACAAAAATTTTTATAAAATAAATTATAAATATTAATTTAAACAATTAAATAGAAATTTTTGTTATAATATAAAAGTTATATTTAATATTTAAATACTCATTTGTAATTAAAATTCATGGATATGTAATTATCTAGATTGATATTCTAAACTAATTTTTTTAAAAAAATATCAAAAATATAATTATCATTAATTCAGTATTATGGGATCTAATTAACAACTAACAAGTGTGATTCTAGGAGTCAATTTTATTTAGACTTCAAATGGGTTAGAAGCTAGATGGAGCCCTCCGACACCTAAGTTGGTTAGACTCAATATTGATAACTTTATCAACATATGCTGTCACTTGTCGAAGCATCATTAGGGATGATAAAGGTAATTAAATTAAAGGATTTTCAAAATATTTTGACTACTAGCCTTGCACGGTAACTGAGCTCATGGAAATTTGAAAAATGTTTAACTTTTGTTGATATGCTAAGATTCCTGAAATTAATATCTATTTTGATTTTATGAAAGCCTTATCACTCATCGAGAATAACTATCCAAATAAACACCTTTTTTATTAAATTATCAGGAAAATCAAAGATCTTACCATGAAGGACTGAGTGGTCATCTTTGACAATGTCTACAGAGAAACAAATAGATATGCTGACTTACTTGCTCACCAGGCTTTTAGGGATAACTTTGACATTAGGATTTTAGACTGTCCTCTATTGGATTGTATAAACCTAATGATTTTAGACATGACTTGACTTTTGTCCTTTCGCACAATTTTTCCATTGCCTTGTATTTAAAAAAATCCCCATATTTGTGTTTATTTCCTTCTAATTTGAGGTTCTAATAATTAATATACACTCATTTAATGTGGGTTTTATGCACTAAGTGTTAACCAAATTCATACATGGAAAGCTAGTTCTCAAATTTAATTGTTTTTATTATTTGCAAGCCTCTATTTGGCAAGCATATATTCTGTTTCATTTAAAAAAATTATCGAATATATATTGATCTATCAGAAATTGTGTATTCAAATGGCATATTTTATTGAACTGTACTCCTTTATTAGCCTAAGTTACAGCAATTAATATTATGAAAGATGTAATTTATCTTTTTAAAAAAAAACCAACTGGTTCAAACTTTTAACTTGTTTTCACTTTTCATATGAGCCTAAAGACACGATCATATACATTTGAAAGGGCAAAAATTGACTGGTTCGAACATTTTTAAATCACAGGCAACACTACTGGTGGTAGACCAGGAGCCAAATATTCGCCCCCCCTTTTTTTTTCTTGGGCCAATTACCTAGTTTCTGTTTCAATTGGTGTTGTTAAATTTAATTTAATAATTTAAATCAAACTGGCGTGACTTCCAATAATTGTAGATAAACTCAAGCAATTTTTATTTCATCAAAACAGGGGTTTAGATCAGTGTTTTAAGACCTGAGTGATCTGGATGGTTAAATCAGTCAGACGGCCGCCAGAATACAAAAACGACTTGGTTTGATTCATTAACTTGCTTCAAGGATTGGATCATTTTAAATGGGACGGCTTTGACAGAACCAAAATTAACTAGAAACTCAAAATAATTGGACCACTTTGAACCATTTTTCTATTTTACTCCTATTAATTTTTTTTCTTCAATTTAAAAATATTAATGTGAATTTTCTTTCAAATTGTTATAGCAAGCATCATTGCCTAGTTCGATTCTTATATGTACGTGTAGGAAGCATCGCTTGGGAAAGGAAAACTCTCTAAATGGTATTCAGATTTTTCAAGAAATTACTCTTACGACTGCTAGATGTAAAAATATCTTGGGAAACCAAAATAAAAAATTGAGTTCAGGATTTGTTTATTAACATTATATAAATTAGATTGTAGAGAAAATTGAAAACTTATCTGTTTCAAAAGAAAAATAAGATAAACAAAAAATACATATTACAAAAATGAGAAAATTAAAACTGAATAACTTTGAATTAAAAATGATACTTTTGGTATTTTTAATGTTTTATTTATGCATATGCATATAAATATTTTTTTTATTTAATATTATGTCATTGATTTTACTACTAATCTAATCGATTAAATCATTATAATTGTGACTCCCTGATCTTTTTAGGATCCAATTTTTAAAACATTGGTTTAGATTTTAGAATGCATGCTCTAAATAAGTGAGCTACGAATCCAGTTCCAAAGTTTGTAATAATAGTTGGTACTTCATAGCAAGGAAAATTACAAAAGAACATATATTATAAAGGGAAAATATGCTCAATAATCAAGCATATAAACAAACCAGACTTTATTTCCATTTTGATAAAGCAAACCCGCATAGCGAACCCAGGTTATGTTTGGCTGAGATCAATACGAAGTAAGATCAACTTCATGAGAATCCATGGATTAGCAAAGACCAACAACCTCAATTTTGTCATCAACAATTGCATTTCACCCTTGAAATCTCTATGCCGCATCTAAAATCTTGATGACATCACACTTTCTCTTGGTTTGGATTAAGAGAAAAATACGAATAAGGAAAACTAGAAGAGAAAAATTTTCTCCTAGTTTTTTCTCCTCTCTATTATCTTACTTTTCATTCTATCCAAACCAAGTCTAGCTGGCCTCTGAGATACAAGTTTCAATCCTGAATTGGCAGAAATGGCATATAAGATCATTTACAAAAACCTTTTCAACTAACCTAGTACACTCAGACTACGAACTGATATCTCTCTATCGTGTAAGAAGTTTGTATGAAGGCAAATCCTCTAGCCGTGTAATATCTTCAAGGAGAAGCTCTTTCTCCAGCTGATGACGTGTCGCTTTCATCACTCTCTGTTCAAAACGGAAAATAAAATGCAACAGCCGTAGTCACTAAGAATCAAAAGCTGAAAATCTAGGTCAGCTGCTAAGGATGAAAATCAAGTGTATCTATAGATCAACCGTGGTTCAAAAAATCACTATGGTTACACCAAAGTTAACATAAGTCTGAAGGCCTCCGCAAAAATATTTCTCTTCATTTGCAAGAGTTATTTTCTCTGCATTAAGATTTACCCCTCACTGCATTTTTCAAGGTTGATATTCATCCGATCACTTTAGTTTTCTTCCCATACACCATTATCAATAAAAAAACCTCAAAATTTAGCGAAAATCTCTTCCTCATAAGCACCAAAGTTATTAGCCAAGCATACATTCTGCTGGCACAAAATGTACTTCTCGATAGCCTAATCAAATATCAATGCAGCACAAGTGACCAAAAACGCCAAGTTTATGCCCATAAAAACTTAGGTAGTGTTTGGATTGATACACTTGGATTTAAAATCTTACATTTCAAATTCATATATTTAAAATTATTTGTTTGGATAGTTTAAATAACAAAGGTCATTACTGTTAGGTAGTGTTTCAAGGATACATATGGAGATTTGAAATGAAAAAGGTTTAGAAAAGATTTCAAATCACGAAGGAATTAAGATAAAACCTAGCTTTGGATTTGGATTCATAAATTTTTAAGTGCCCAAATTGGGGATTTGACCCAAATCCAAATCTAAATATATCCAAATATAGTTTTAAAGTAAAGGAGGCTAGTATGAAATTGTTGAAACTAGAGGGGTGCTCCTGTAGGATTTTGGAACACTCGGGCAAAGTGAAAAAAATTTATACAAAATATTAAATCCATGTGCCTGTTGGCTCCTATTTCTAACAGAAGCATTCAGACCAGAGAATACTTACATTAAAATCCATGTATGATGCTCGCATGGTAAGCCATTGAAGATCCATCAGCTTAAAAGTTATGCAATAGAGTAGATCAAAAGCCCATTCATTCTCTGTCAGACGACAATGAATGACTTTAGTAAACAGCAAGCTAAGATATAATCCTTAAACAAGGACTCGGAACCCGAAGTGAAAAGCCCACCAAAAAAATATTGTTCTTATTCTTGCAAAGTGCTGTATTACCCACATTGTATATTTGGAAGTCCCATAAATTACTATTTAGATACCAGCATTAAATTATGACTAAATTCAGATCCTACCCCTCATCTCCTAGCATAGAAGAGGGAAGTACAAATACACATAATTTAGGCTACCTGCAAGAAGTCTTAGGAAAGTTGCTCCCACCATTGTCCGTGGCTTGACTGTAAAGCCAAAGCATATTGTTAACAATTAATATCATCAACTGAATTAAGTTCTTGAACATGACAAAATTTAATTCAACTCATTGCTTTGCAAAGGCATAAATCATACAACAGCCAGCATAAAAACATACATTTTCACCTAAATTCAGAAATAATTATCATCATTGAAATTTGTCAAAGAACAATGACAAGACTTCTCTTTTTCTTTTCTTCTTTGAACAAATACTTTGTCACTATGGATGTCACATTCTTTGAGAACCAGCCCTATTATCAAAAAATTCCCATTCATGGGGAGAGTAGAGAGGGTGGATGGGCCATTTTTGGGGACAATCTGGGTTCTGCTCATCTGATTTGGGACCAGACGCTTCTGTCAAACAGCCCTTGCAACTCAAAAATCCTGAAACTGAACCTAAACAGTTAGAAAATAGACCTACTCTCGACCCAATACCTGAAACTGAACCAATGACAAGTTCTGAACCTGAAAAAGATCCCGCTTGAGAACCTGTTTTGCCAATTGCAAAACCAATTTCAGGCCCTATACCTGAATCTAACCCCAGTTCCAGCTATGACAATTCTCAAAACTAAACTGAACAACATAGCCTAGAAAAGCGGAAAATAACAGGACTAGGGCGGGCAAATTGAGCCCAATGGCTCTAAATGACATTCAAGAAGGAATAAAGAACAACTAGCAGCTGAGCAACAACCCATTCATGAACCAGAAAGTGAAGAGTACTTCACTCTTGAGCAAAGACATGAATATGACCCAACTAAAAATCTTGGGAGTTGAGGTGGCCAATAGCCTTGAGAAAAGGGGTAAGATCCTGCACGAAGCATCCCATTCAAAAGTAGTACCCTATGCAAAATTATCTCCACAATTTCAGGCATCCACCACACAATTGGCAGCTGAAAAACTACCTGAAAATTTCTATGAAGCCATAACGGACCAGAAGTAGAGAGAAGCCATATATGGAGAGTTGAGAGCTCTAGAAAAGAATCAGACCTGGGAGGTGACTAGTCTACCTCAAGCAAAGTCAAAAGTTGGTTGTAAGTGGGTATTTACCACAAAGTATAATCCTAATGGTAGCATTAGTAAATACAAGGCTAGATGGTAGCTAGAGGATTTATTCAAACACATGGTATTGACCATTAGGAAACATTTGCTCCAGTAACCAAATTTACTACCAAAGAAATCCTTCTATCACTTGCAGCAAACTTTGATTGGCCCTTATACCAATTTGATATTAAAAATGCAATCCTAAATGAGGATTTAGAGGAAAGCTAATGTGGAATTACCACCAGGTTTGAAGGACGTAAAGAACCCTTCTAGAGTGTGCAAACTGAAAAAGTCATGATACGGTTTAAAACAATCACCTAGGGCATGGTTTGGAAGGTTTACTGGTGCACGAAAGACTTCTAGATATTACCAATGCCAAACTGATTATGAGACATGCCAACAGTGGAAAAATCACTATCTTGATTGTCTATGTAGATGATATTGTCATTACAAGTGACAACAAAGAAAGCATTCAACACTTGAAAAATTCCTTGGCAAAGGAATTTGAAGTAAAAGACCTTGGCAACCTTTAGTACATCCTTGGAATGGAAGTCTCAAGAACCAGAAATGGCGTCTCAGTGTTACAGAGAGAGTAAACTCTAGACCTGCTAAAGGAAATAGGAATCCTTTGAGCTAAATCAGCAGAGACACATATGGAGTCCACTTCCAAGGAAGAATTCAGAACACAGTGGATGCAAGAGGGTACAAGAAGCTAGTGGGAAAACTTGTATACCTTTCACACATGAGGCCTGACATAAGTTTCCCAGTAAGTGTGGTAAGCTAATTTTGCGCAAAATCCTCAAGAACAACACAAGAGTAGTCATTAGAATCTGAGTATCTGAAAATGACACCTAGGAAGGGGCTATGCTTCAAGAAAGACACAACAAGAAAGGCTGAAGTCTTTACTGATCCAAATTGGGCTGGCTCTGTAACAGATAGAAGATCAACCACTGGGTATTGTACATTTGTGTGTGGAAATCTGGTTACTTGGCGGAACTAAAAATTAAAGTAGATCTACAAGTGAAAGTATTAAGTGACAATATGGCCACCATAGGAATTGATAATAACCCTTTTCATCATGACAGAACTAAGCACGTGAAAATGGATTTTCATTTTATAAAACAAAAACTTGGAACCAGCCAGATAGATTTCTATCACATGTCAACCAGCAAGCAAGCTGTAGATTTACTGACTAAATCTCTCACCAGAGTCAAATTTGAGGAACTAAGTAGCAAGTTGGGAATGATTAACATCTAATCTCTATCTTGAGGGAGAGAGTGTTGGCGGAATATTAGTCATAATATTCTGTTGACTAGCCTTATTATATTCTACTCCCTCCGTTAAAAATATAGGTATTTTTTGACAGAATCTGACCTCCAATAAAGTAGTTACTTATCTTCAAACTAACATTATCTTTCTATATTTATCCCTATTTAATAAGGCGCTTCACTCTAAAATAAATATAAAGTGATTTTAATAGGGACATTTTTGGAAAAAATCTAATGATTAAACCTTAAAAGACTAAAAATGCCTTACATTTTTTAACATCTAACCCCTCAAAAAATGTTTTACAGTTTTGAACGAAGGGAGTATTTTATTTCCTTTTATGTAGTAATAAATATTCTTCCTTCATTCTCTTCCAGATTTGCTGATAGCAATTATTCTGTAATGTTCCCTCATTTATTCCTGCTTAATCAGTGGGATTGAGAAGCAAACAAGCTTCTATCCTCTCCCCTATATGTATCACATCACACTCTTCTGTGAATATCATTGAATCATTTCCCCATCTAAATTAATAATTAATAATTTCATGAACTTATTATTCATAGTACATATCATACAGAAAAGCATTAAGATTCAGACTTTGTGTGTGTTATCTCTAGCATTATATGATAATATTAGATAAAAAAAATTTTACAATATCGTTCAAAAATATTTTCTAATCATCCAAAGATATTTAATTTAAATAGATAAAATGAATTTAATTATTTATATTTTGTAGTAGTTGAAAAGCAAAGCAAGATGCCCAGCAATACGAGCAAACCAGAGGTGCATGATTAGATCAGTACAGCTCTGGAACTGTTGTACGGTTCACATGCTTAATCTTCTAATTTGACCTGTTTTTGATCTACCACGTTTCACCAGTTAAATGGTGCAACAGCTTATAGTCTATGATTGGATTACACAGTCGGTTAGCTTGAAGGTAGAAATGGTAGGTTAGCGCCAGTTTTCTTTAAAAAAAAAAAAGGCAACTGGCAAAAGCATTTTCATATCGCTATATGCAACTCATCGCACTGGAAAGCCAAAGTTCAAATTTTGTTTGAGTTCTGATTGGTACAGCATTATATAATTAACATATCATAGCATGATGATGATGAAAGAAAAGGTTGTGGCAATAAAAGAAGCAACAGACCTGCTTCAAGATCAAGCATTTGGATAAGCATAAAGGTGATGTTAACACCAGCAACAGCAAATGGGTACTCCCATGCTGATCGGTCTCCTTCCTGCTTCCATAAAAGGTCTTGGAAGGATTTCTGCAAAGCAAAAATTTTAAGTTTTGCTTCCACGGCAAAGACATGAATAGTAAACACTAGTCAAATTTAAGGTCAATTATAAAATTTTATTATTCTTAAGAAAAATGGGAACTATAATAGAGCATCAGAAAAACATTATGAGTAGACCAATGATCAGAAAAAATGGAAGGATCACACCAAGATGGACCTAATCTTTGAAAGATTTCAAGCCCATGTCCCATCCATACCAAGCCTTAACGCAAAAGTAGATATATCAAACTTGTAGAACATGCATACTCATCAAGAAAGTGATATGTAAAGCGGCTAGGAATTTGAACATGCAAACAGAACACTATATTTGATGCAACGTTTTTCCCCTCCAAATTAAAGCGCGTAATTAGTCCCCAGTGAATAAGAAGGCTCAGATTTGTTGAGTATTAACTTGATTTTTTATATTAAACATTTACTTCTTCAGTTTGAGATCATCCCAATTTTTAATATTAAACATTTTCTATTTCATTCTGAGATCCGAGATGTTTCTGGTATACTAGTGGCATCCACTCCATAGTGACATAGGATGACATCACTTGGTGGTGACTCAACTAAAAAGGGATCAGATTACATTACTGAATTTTAAGCTTTCCTGGATGAAATAAAATACTCGTTAACATTATTTCTTAGATAATGTTCAATCGACATAATAAAAATGAACATCTCAATCAATGTTTTATCCCATACAAAATACCAGGTAAGATACAAGTGCACCTAACAGCTTCTGAATGAACCATTCAAGTAACAAGAAGCAAGGCTGTGCAAATAATGATGACTCAACATTCAAGCAAATAAATAGCCTCCTGCACGATTCTCTTTATCTTCGTTAGTTACAGACATTGTTATGCTTTTAGGAACTAAGCAGCCCTTTCTCATTTTGAGATAAACGAGAAGCTGTTTATTTGCATGGGGTCCCAGATGAGGCGCACTATACATAACTTATGAATAATGCAACTTTGCACCATTTTTATAGATTTATTAATACTTATTAAATTGTTACTTTTTCCAGGTTTTTACATGAGCTACTTTTCAAGCTAGAAGGTCTTCCATTTCCATGCCCCCAAAACAATCTTCAAAGCATAATTTTTTTTTAAAAAAAAAAAAAAAGAGCAAAGAGAAAAGGAGACCATACTGGGAAATTCCTGGCAAAATATAGCAAATTCTCCAAAGATATATACCCACCGCCCCTGCCAAATAAATCGAGAGAGAAATCATTCAAAACAAGATATGGTCAGACTACTGATAAGATCACTAAGTTGGAAGCCCAAAATATCTACCTAAAGTCTGTTGACGGATCCTTTCCTTGCCAACCCATTTCTTTCCACTGCTCGGATATTAAGCCATGAAGTTCTTCTTCAGGAAAGGCAATATTCCATAGCGCCCTTAGAGACTCCTAAAATAAAGCAAAATTACCACATATAAATTAGAGTCTAAGAATATTGTATTGCCCAAACAAGGAATGGACAACACATGAAGCCATGGGTGCACAAAAATGAATTCATCAACACAACTATTAGTTATTGCCACATCACTACAAAGCTTGATATTATTAACGAAAAGGATACCTGGTGCTCAAGGATGGAGCTATCATACGGAACATCTATACGGCTCTGTAGCCTCTGCAAACATTCCTCCTGAGAATCCAAGTTCAACAATATGACGATTTATTGCGACTTATTTATAAAAAAACAATGTTTAATAAAATAAGGTTGTCAAAACAAAAGATATCACTTCTATTCCAAAATGAATACAACAAAAGGCACAAAAATTATTTGAACGGCCCAATCATGTTAATCATGGGAGTCAAGATACCTATGAAATGCAAAAAAGGAAAAAGGGAAGAAAGAAAAAAAGCCATAAACGATGAAAAATTAATTTTGACCAAAAACTGTAGTTCAATAAAATTTGTTCTTCAATTTTTATATAACCGCCTGCAGGCAAGATATCTTTTAAACGAAAAAAAAATCATTCAAATAAAAAAAGCAGAATTATTTTACTCAAGAAAAAAGAATCAAATAAATTCAATTGTATTGTCCTCAATTTTCAATAAATCAACTTTGCAATTGTAAAATTATCTCGGATGCAAACTATACAAGTTTAAGAGAGGATAGGTCACTTGTCCAAACACTATTTATTGACCTTGATGTATATGTTATTCTTCAATCTACAAACTCTATTTATATAAGACCAAAGAACAAAAGGCATGGTCATCGTTCAAAAAAAAAAAATGAAATAATCTGATTCTGAATATCATTGTCTTTCCAAAAAAACCTGAAAGTTGTGCTCCAATAAATATAATAAATCTGAACTCAAGTGAAATGTGAGGACATATTTTTGGAGATGATTGCAGCAGCAGAAAACCTCAAAATTTGACCTCTATATATCGCATATTCTCACACATAATTCATTTCATTGAAAGAGCCTACAGCACAATTTTGTTTTAAAAAAAAACTGTTTCATCAGTGTTTAAATAACAAAATTATTTAACAAGATTATTACCTGCAATGGAGTTAAATCAACAGAGAGACGAGCATCACTATCTCTTCTCTGTGCGCATACGCAAGATAATCCTCTGCCAAGCCATGCTGCTGATCCTGCCACAGCCTCAGCTGTAAACAAATAACTGCCTATAAGTTTATGGCAATAAAAAGTAATAGATCATTCCAAGTGAATGATAGTTCATTGGTTTAGTTTAGTTCGTAAAATGAAATCAGAACTATTCAGCTTATTTAACTACAGCAGCATCTAGAAAACTTTTTTGTTTTATCTTTCAGGGAAAAGAAAAGAAGGGTATAGCGTGATAACAAACTATAATTACAAGGCAGGGGACAACTACAATAGACATTATGGAGAGGATATCAAGAAAGTGAATGGTACTATATGCTATAGAAAGAAGCACTTTCACGTTAATTTTGAAAGTAGGCTTATGTCACAAGGTTTTCAAGGAAATCTGGAAGATTATGAGCTATTATTTGTCGATTTGGTGAGTAATCAGATGGTATGAACCAAATGGAAAGAATGGAGTTTGCCAATCCTGACAAGTGATATAAAAGTAAAGAAAAAATATTAGAATTAAGTACATTATCTAAGAATAGCCTGCCATTAATGACTCCCATCTCTTGTCCCTTTTACCCACCATAAGGCTTTCAAGCCCCAATAAATTATTTAACCTACGATTAATCTTTTAACAGCAGGCATGTGATTCTGATTACCGCAAACTAAGGTAAAACCCAGGCACCACTGTCGATGCGAATGCACAGGCCACAACAACCTCAAACAAAGAGACAAGCATGATCCAAAAACTTTGAACCACAGCAAAGCAACAAGTAAAGCAGTGCTTTTGCCACAACATGATGAATTTAAATTTCAAGCAGCATCAGAGAGGATTAAAAGACCACAACCTCACTTTATGTACAACTAGGGTGGGTTCCATCTATTTCACAAGCCACAACAATCCTCAAAGAAAGAAGCACACGTGATCCAAAAACTTTGAACCAAAGCAAAGCAACTGGTGAGGCAGCGCTTTTGCCAAAACATAATTAATATTGTTAAATTTCGAGCAGCATCAGAGAGAATTATAAAACTACCACCTCACTTACAACTGGTGCGGGTTCCATGCATTGCATGGAAGCAGGGACACAAGCCAAATCTTTTATAGCTTATGAATAGTGCCTCTTGTTAAAGTTTTTACATTATATATAGATATATCGATTTTCCGCTGCCGATGCACTTCGAAGTATCATCTCCACATTTTATTATATAATTCGCAATAAATTATCCAAGATTCTTATTATAGATTTGCACAAGTCAAATAAGTACAGCTGGCGCCTTAAAGTTAGATGTAACAGCTCTGGTGCTCAAAAGAGTGGAATATTCAGGAAAAAAGAAAACAAAAGCGAAAATTACTTCTCCCGGGAAAAAAAGAAGAAGAAGAAGAAGAAGCGAAAATAACTCTACAAATATATCGAGCAAGTTTGAATTGAATCTATTCAATCAAACAGAACGAGTGCGCATGAACCTGTGAGAAGGAAAGGTAAGAGTGAAGTGAGAGAGCCTGCGTCCCCAAATGAGCTTTCGTCAATCGCGCAAGATATAACTTGCATAAATATTTTTGGAATGCACGAAAAAGGAAAAAAGTAAACCAACAATTCCAAATTAAAAAAGAAACACCAATATGAAATAGCCGACCGATGCAATTTCGAATCCCAGCAAACATCATGCAAGTGTAACTTGCACAATGATCAAGCTACTCAATCATGACACGATCTCGATAGAGAGATCCGTACTTGATAAAATTGCTAGATAGAGATAAATGCAGTATTATGACCATTGTCAACATGAAATGAATGAAATCAACACTTCAGAGAGAGTCGCAAAATATACAGAGAAGATAAACAGTGATGAAATATAATACATTTACTAAAAATAAGCAGTTCAGAGGAAGGAGGCGGAAGAGAGAGTCGCAAAATACACGCACACACACAGAGAAAGGATAAATTTAAATTTAATACATTTACCAGAAGTTGAATGATAGGTGTTGCCGCGCTCTAGAGTTTGCGAAATCCTCCTGACAGCAACGAATGAGCCACCTCTATCATCCATATCCTACAATTCTTCACTACACTACAACCACATCATATACAACCAAACCCAGAAGTCACCAATCCCTTAGAAAACCACTCCTCGACAATCCAATTAACTAAAAACACCAATAGTTGAAGCAGAAACCAGATCAAACTCCAAAATCTTCCCAGAGAACCCGCCAAAACCCAAAAGAGCAGCTCCAAAAAGGCCAAAACGCCGAAATCCAGATTTCCTCAGGAAACAAATAAAGGGGAAAAAGAGTAGTGAACTGAAGAAAATCGAACAAATTTTACATGAGAAAGGAGATAAGAAGGATAATAAGAAAATGATGTAGAATGTTGAAGGAGGTGATAATAACTAAGGATTCTGGAAGATCTGAGAGAAGATACATGCCATGGGAGACAGTTAACAGATACAGCTCGCCTTCACTCTCTCTCTCTCTCTCTAACACATCGCTCCTTTGCTTGATCGCTTGGTAGCTTTCTGTGGCTGCTTAGTGAAGGCGTTGGCGTTTTGCTTATGACGAAGAGTGTGGGGTAATAAATAAATAAATTATTTGTCGTATCATTTCTTTCCGTTACTCGAAAAAAATTCATATATTGCCTCAACTAATTCGACTCTATTTTCATTTTTAAAAAATTCAAAACGTTTCTGTGAAGCTGGTAAAAAAAAAAAAGTTTCTGCGAATAATAGAGGGACATATTCATTTTTGTTAATCGTATATATTAAAACAGAAATATTCTTTTAATAAATGCAAAAAGGATGGGAGAGGAGTTTTTTTATCATAGAAGACATTCATCCCCCCCCAACGGTAATAAGAGCATATTCATTCTTGGGAAAATGAGAGAAAAATAAGCTGAAAATATACAAATTAAAATTAAATACTGTAAAATGTAATAATTATTTTCTAGTTTTTAAAGGCTTGTCTATCAATTAGTTTTAATATGAAAAAACTGTTTTACTCTTCTAAAAAATAAAAAAATGTCATCAGAATTTGTAATTTGTTAATTCATTCTAGCCAGTTTTTTTTTTGGAAAGCTAGTTATTTTCTTAAAAAAATTAATAATTGATTTTTAATTATTGGATGTCATTGATAAAAAAATTGTGCTGAATAACTTGTAATTTTCCATTTTTCATTTTCCCAAAAAAAAACTTGTCATTTCTTAAAAGAAAATAGTGTATGATTTTTAGTTATTGAACTTCGTTAATAAAAAAATTTACACAGAATAACTTATAGTTTATTACTCTGTTATAGTCATTTTTCAAAAAAAAAGTAATAACTGATTTTTAATTATTAAACTTCATTGATAAATTTTGAAATAGGGATAGATATGTCATCGCACAAAAAAAAAACAAAAATATCATACAAGTCTCCTAATATTAAAAAAATAATTATCATATTTAATAATATTTAATTGTTATTTATATATTTTGTAAATATTTTTTTAATTATTTTCCTTTCATTCTTAGCCTCAGGCGACTTTTTTTGTTGTTTTGTTTTTAATGCTAAGCGACCAATTTCAGACAAGCATTTATCATTATAAGATGTAAGAGGCATGATTGCACGAAATGGTGGCTACAAATTTCTAAAGTTTATGAACCATTTAGCATCACTAACTCTGAAAAAAAAAAAACCTGGGGGGAGGGGGAATTGCCCTAAAATTTTTACCGTCAAATTAATTGCTAAAAAAGAGTTGAAAGTAGAGTCAATAATTCAGGTAAGTCGAGTTTATTTCAGCTGGGCTCAATTTGGGCCGACCTTGAGCTACCCCACTCTCTTAAAAAAGCTCATATAATAAACCTAGCCTTAATTTTTTTTTAAGGCTAACCTGTTGAATTTGGCTTAAATTACCGACTCTAATTAGAAGAGATTTAGTGTCGAGATCCTTTATTGGCAGTAATTGCTTAGGGTTAAATGACAAAACTATCCTTACTAATAAAAAAAAAGCAAAAGTTGAGCAAGGTCCTTTGCTATCCATATTTTATACAAAATCATTCGCTGTCAATATGTCATAAGGTCTTTTGTTGTTAATAATTTCATGTCAAAACTTAATGCTTTCCTTTCAATGTCAATATGTCAATTTGGAATGCTAGAAGCATGGGTCTTCAATCATATGTAATAATTCTTTTGCTATCTATATATTTATATTTCAATTATATACAAGAAAATGTTCATTTATTCAAATAATAACTTTTAATATTACGAAAATTCTTAACTTAGGGGTATTATGGAATACTAAAAGTAGGGATCTTCACATTTATAACAATTCTTTTATTATACACATTTAAATTTCAATTATATGCAAGAAAATTTTAATTTCTTCAAAAAACAACTTTTGATATTTTGAAAATTTTTAACTTAGAAGCATTCTAGAATACTAGAAATAGGAGTCTTTAGTCATGTGTAGCTATTCTTCCACCTTATGCATTTGAACTTCAATTGTGTTTAAGAAAATTTTCATTTATTTGAATAAAATCTTTTGATATTCTAAAATTTTTTTAACTTAGATGGATACCACATTATTTGAATATTACAAAAGCATATTCTAAAAAAAAATTCTTTTTTCATGAAAATAGCAAAGGATATTTTGAAAACGTAAATGGTTATTCTTGAAAATTTCTTCATTTTTCATGAAAATACCTATGGATATTTTGAAAACATAAATGGTTATTCTAAAAATTTCTTCATTTTTTATGACAAGACCTATGGATGTTTTGAAAAATATACATCCTTAGATAATTGAGCATGGTAAAAATATTGGAGAGGAATATAAGTTATAAATTGATGAATAAGTTTATTAGCACTTAATTAATACTAGCTTTTACATCACATATAGATTTTGTAGCAATTACAATTTATTAGTACCAACTCTCAAAACATCAAAGCAAAATATAAGTTGCCATCAAATACAAGCTATTGCATCGCATAGATGATTTTTCATGTACAATTCATCCCTACAAGCTATTGCAATTACAAAGCCATAAATTATATCTTGCAGAAGTTCTTTTATGTAAATTGCTTTTGTCTAAGACGTTCATGCTCAATTATATATCTTTTTCATCCAACAGTTTACTTTGTAGTATCTGACCAAGGATTTTGCATCACCAAACAATTTGCATGATTGCAAATCTACCAACTTCTTTTGATTTCATTATTGAGGTATGTATTGCAAGAAGGAAAGCTTTTCATGAAAGTCAAATAAGAGATCAGTTAAGGTGTAAGAAAAAAAATATAAACATTCTGATATATATAAAATGTAGCTACAATATTGACTATTAACCTGTTACCTCTATATGCTTTATCATGTTGTTGCATGCAAGTAGACAAATATTTCAAAAAGGTTTAAATTAAAATGGAACAAAGAACACACTTGGGACAAGATAATCAGAACTACCAATGCAGGGAGCCCTATTTCAATGTACTTTACCAAATACATGAATTAAGACAAACACGAAGGTTATGTTTGTTAATCGTTAATTTGATATTGCTATATGAAGGAAGTCTAGCATAAATAAAGAGAAACAGTATCCATTGGGAAAACCAATTGTAGAAAGTCTTGGGAAACCTACACAATCATAACATTAAATTACTAGGCTCTTCAATTGAGCAAATGCATAGTTATCAAAGGACATTAGAGAGTGTAGTTTGAATCCTCTATATTTTTATACTGGCAAAGATTCCCAAGAATCTAAAAAAAACCCAATAATGATTTGCAAGATAGATGCAACAATGAGTGACCCTTACTTGACTCTCATGGATTGTTTAAATCTCTAAAATTCAAACTTGGAAACACTAGAACATGAAATAAAAAAAATGACAAAAGGAAAATCAAATGGAAAGAAGAGAAGAGAAAGGCATTGAACTATGATCACACTACAAAAAGCACACCATATTGGCAAGAGAACTTGCACATTCTTAGCATTTTCATAGATTGGAAAAAAAAATATTTGTAAAGAAGCATAACAAATTCACATAACCAAAAGATTAGCAAATTGTCTATTCCAACTAAAACGAAAACCTTTGCCCCACACAAATGTAATAGCCAAAGGGAACAACCATCAATGGATCAATAAAAGGTTAGATAAAAAAGAGAGATTTAGGTGTATAGAATCTGAACCTTAAGGTAAAAATTTCACCCTCTAACACACTCAAACCTGCCAATTACCGATCGCCTCTATCACCATTGTCACCTCCAATGCTAATTCCCCCGGCTCTCCTAATTCACTGAAACTCTTTAATTTTTGATCACCTCTGCTACTTGAAAAATAACAAAAGTAGGGGAGAAGAGGGAATGACCATGTTCCTTAAAAGCATGATGGTCACACTTGTCATCAACATTGATTGCTCCTTCGATGCCTTAGAGCTCTTGGAATCTTGCCTTTTGCTTTTAGAGAAACCCTAGATGTCATCGATATACTGTCTTTATTCTTCCCTCTTTGCACAAATTTGAAAAGGAAGGAGAGGAAGGAGGTGAGGATGGAAAAGAATAATTAGGTATAAAGGTGGAGATGAATGATGAAGGAGTAGGGAAAGGAGGACGAAGTCATTGCCGAAATTGCAATGGGTTCGAAGAGGAGAGACTAAGAAAGGAAGGGTTTGGAAAGGGCATTTTAGTCATCTGAAGCTCTAAATTAATGTTAGGTGAAGAACGTCAATTTGAAATCTCTCACAAGTCCTTCACAAAATTAAATTTGGTCAAGTCTTTTTTAGTAATTTTGCCCAAAAAAAAAAAGTTTCACTAATAATAATGAAAAATTTTCATTAAAGTTCCTTGAATGTGACATAATTTTAATTGAGGCTCGAAAAATTTTGAAATTTCACTGCAAGTTGAAATAAAATAAATTTTCCAAATTAAATAACCAAATTGCTCTTCCATTATAATTAACATTGCTAAAATAACAAATCAAATTATGGGTTTTACAAATAACGTTAATAAAGTAATAGTCAAGTTATGGGTTTTACAAGTAATGTTAATTATTAGAATAAATGTAACTTCATGTTATTCTCATAATCTTACTTGTAAAAATAGTAATTTAATTTGTTATTTTAATAATGTTACTGGTAAAAATCATAACTTGTTTTGTTATTATATCAATGTTACTTATAGAAATCAAAACTTAGTTAGTTATTTTATAATATTATTTGTAAAAATCATACCTTGAGTTGTGATTTCAATTATATTACTTATAAAAACCATAACCTAGTTTGTTATTCTAATAATGTTACTTGTAAAAACTATAACTTAGCTTGTTATTTTATTAATAGTAATGTTACTTGTTAAAAATTATAACTTGACTTATTATTTTAGTAATGTTAATTATAATTAAAGGGCATTTTAGTCATTTAACTAAGAAAATTTATTTCATTTCAATCCCTCAGGCTTGAAGTGAGATTTCACATTTTTTATGTCTCAATTAAAATTATGTTACATCCAAGGGGCTTTAATGAAATTGTTCCAATAATAATTGCATTTTTTTAGTTTTTTTTCCAACATTAGAAT